AAGAGATTTTACGGTACCGCAAAAAGTGTTTAATGCGGCACTCACGAACCATAAATACAAGTCAATAGTATAACAAATAATAACCGAAGGTCACTGTTTTTTTTATAATAACCATTAAAGTTAACACCGCCCTTCCATTGCGGCCATAAAAAAGTCAGACTACAGACGAAAACCTAGTTTCGTCTTACAGCAGTTTCCATTTTTTGCGTGCGGCATGATGTATTTTGACGTAAAGACGCTCTTCCACTGTGGGGCCGACGCTGCAGAAGCAGCCAGTAAGATTCATGGGTGGGATTTGTGCTTAAAACGCGAGAAGGAAGCGGTTTACGGACAACAAGAGGGTGAGGAATTATTGTTTTTTAGCTTCGTTTCTCTGGGTACAAAATGATAAATGCCCATTCGGGTACTCATGAGTCGAACGCTTTAAAACATGCATCTGAGCACACGGAACAGGCAATCAAGCAAGTTTAGTCACAGCAAATTTTGTGCATGACCTTTTTCTGTATGTGGCTCTTTTGAAGTCCCGTTTCCTGCTCCAAATATTTTTGGTGGGGATTTCCCCCCCCCGTATAATCCAGTTGCAAGAACGTAGCGGTTACGTGCGAGACCAAGAGTATTAACTTAAACGTACAAAACATTTTGCATATGAAATACCTCAACGATGGAAGAAATCCATTTTATTACTTCCGTGCTGCAGGAGAAGTGTACCCCTGCCATTCTGCCCCGCTTGGAGTGAGGCGGGGAGACAACACGAGTCTGACAGGACAGGACAGGACAGTTAGGTGGCAGACCTCATGTGTGACCTGATGTGTCCCGTCATTGCGGTCGAAAAGCGCCGCGTCTTAAACGTTTATGACGCTGGCAAGTTTAAAATCGCTGGTAGTAATTCATCGAGATGTCCGCCAGCTTCCTCTCTGCTTTATCACTATCATGCGGTGTTTGTTCCTTAGACCACAAAAGCGTTAAAAAACCTGCTTGACATAAAATGACTGAGTGTTAACGTGAATAGACAAGTTATGCTCAGAAACCGATAGATACACGGGGAAGCACAGAGATAAAAAGCCTACGGCCGGCCTGATCATTTGAAAACACAGTAAAGCTGTTTCTTCTCGGTATTTTGGCAGAGGTACCCAGGTCACTCTAGAAGCATGACAAAGATAGTGGACCAGTAGGCAGGTCCCCCGGACATTCAGACCAATCCTTAAGTGGGGTGATAGTGGATACTGCTGTTGGAGGTTCTGTCTGTGCGGTGCGCTTTTAAAGTAGGATCCTGAATACCCATGTTACTGAAAGAGCGCTATCGCTAACCTAAATATCTGGGCTGAATTTATGACCCAGGCTTTATCGTCAGCCCTGGGGTACCTGCTTTTCCCCGGTAGGTCAACATGTCCTCACTGCAGCAGGCTGTTAGTGATCTACTGCTGCGAAATGGCAGCTGTGCTACATCTCAGGGAATTCTGCACTTCGTGGGAGATCGAGTGAGACCCCTTCCACTTCAGAGCTCCTTGGGCTTCAACAAGCTGATCAAATTACTTTTAATAGAAATGATTTATCCTTCTTTTCCTTATCTGTCTAACTAACGTCTTGGCCCAGTCAGGTGTTGCTGGTCCTATGATTTTGTCCAGGCAAAGAAACCCGCTCCAGGGCTGCACATCAGTATAGGAAGGTCAGTTGAGGAAATAATTTAGAGTGCTCTCATTTCCTTAATTGTAATCTAATATTATCCGAATGTTTATTATTAAACGTAATCAGTATGCAGAACTGAGATTTCTTTTAAGTGCACACTTTTAAACTTTACACCTTTTTACACTTCCTCTGTTAAAAAAGAAAGTCTAGCCTGCCCTTCAATTATCAGATGATATAAAACCTAACATGAGAGCCTTTGTAATGAGGGTTCAGACTAGTTAGGGTTACTAATTATTTGCTAATGACTGATGACAAATGACTATTTTTATCCATTCTTGTCCTGTTGGACTTGAGTTCTGCCTTTGACTCTGTTGATCATAGATTAGAGAGGATTTTTGGTATTGTCAGATCTGCTTTGTTGTTATTTTAAATCATAACTATAAAAAATGTGTTTGTTCCTTTATAATTTATATAATTTTAATATATCTACATGTTAACTTTGAGTCATATTTTGGTGTCAATCCAGGTACTCAGGTGAGGAATCGTGGGTTGCTTTTTGAAACCTATATTTGCACTGTTGTCCGAGTTGATTTTGTGCAGTTTTATGAATATTTTAAAGTCTTGTAATATTTTGTGCATCCATACTATCTTTCCCAGTCTCATGCTGAAAAACGAATGCATGCTTTTGTCTTTTGCTGGCTGGATTAAAATAATGCAGATCTTGTGGGTGTTTCCACATATGTTTTTTAACAAGTTGCAGCTTGTTCAGCTGCTCACATTTTAATTTAAATTCAAATGCATGAGCATTTATATCACCTCCCTTAATTTCCTTGCACCATAGATTTCAGAATAAGATTCACAACCCCGCTGCTCACCTTGAAGGTCTTGAACAGTCTGTCTCCTGACTGCAGCAGTGAGCTGAACCCCCTCCACAGCTGCACACTGTCTGCACTCTTCCAGCTCCCCACACGAGGCTCCGGGCACTGGGAGACCAGAGCTTGCTCTCCTGCTGCTGCAGGACTGAATGATCTCCCAGCCCATGTTAGATCTTGCAAGTCAGTCTCCACTTTCAAGTCCCATCTTCAGGCTCACTTTTATCCTCTAAGTTTTAATTTGTTGACATCTATTTCTGTTGTCACCCAGCAACTCACAACTGCGAATCCACTGAAGCTCAGCAGGTGTGAGCCTGGTCATAGGGGCGGAGTGGTGGCTCTGTGGCTAAGGATCTGCACCTGTGACTGGAAGGTTGCCGGTTCAAATCGCGCGGCCGGCAGAGGAATCCTACTCCGTTGGGCCCCTGAGCAAGGCCCTTCACCCCAACTGCTCCAGGCAGTTGGCAGACCCTGCACTCTGACCCCAAGCTTCTCTCTCCCTGTCTGTGTGTCTCATGGAGAGCAAGCTGGGGTATGCGAAAAGATGAATTCCTAATGCAAGAAATTGTATAGGGCTAATAAAGAAACATTATACATTATTATCAGTACCTGGACCTAAGAAAACTAAGGATGCTGCTGGAAGAGGTGTTAGTGGCTCACCCTGCGGTCTGTGTGGGTCCTAATGCCCCAGTATAGTGAGGAGGACACTGTGCTGTAAAAAGGCACAGTCCTTCGGATGAGATGTAAAGGTCCCGACTCTCTGTGGTCATTAAAAATCCCAGGGTATTTCTTGAAAAGAGTAGTGGTGTAACCCTGGCAATCTGGCCAAATTTCCCAGTGGGCCTTCTAACAATCCCCATCAAAGAACGGGCGTCATCACACTGTCCTCCTCCCCACTGAGAGTGAGTGTACCTGTGGTGAGTGTACTGTGAGCACAGTAAGGGCTGCTGTTGCAATATCAGGTGGGGCTGCACAGAGGTTGTGGTGGAGGGGAGTCCCCATTACCTATAAATGCCTTTTTGCGTTTTTGGGGTGTCCAGAAAAGTGCTATATAAGTGTAAGGAATTATTATTATTATTATTATTAATATTTATTATTTTGTTTGATGGTTTTATTGTACACTGCCTTGAAATGATGGACTGTGAAAGCCACTTGGAAAATTAAAGGTTATTAATTGTAGAATGTTATTTATGGGAAAAGTTGTGTTCGATTGGTTATCAGAATGATTTACTGTTACTAAGCAATCTGTCATATTTTCCTTCAGGCTGTGTTATTTTAGGTAACTCAAGATGACATTTGTAAGTGACAAATTGTACAAAGAGTACCTTCGGCTCAACATGGAGCCGTTTGTGTCTAAAGTCAAGCCGATGGAGATCCTGCCTTTTCTTTACTGCCTTACTGAGTCAGATAAGGTAAGTTTTCAATTGTATATCGTATTTATT